GAACTTCCCTATGACCCTGCCATTGCACTACTGGGTATTTACCCCAACAATAAAGATGTAGTGAAAAGAAGGACCATCTGTACCCCAATGTTTATAGCAGCAATGGCCATGGTTGCCAAACTGTGGAAAGAACCAAGATGCCCTTCATCGGACGAATGGATAAGGAAGATGTGGTCCATATACACTATGGAGTATTATGCCTCCATCAGAAAGGATGAATACCAAACTTTTGTAGCAACATGGACGGGACTGGAAGAGATTATGCTGAGTGAAATAAGTCAAGCAGAGAGAGTCAAGTATCATATGGTTTCACTTATTTGTGGAGCATAACAAATAGCATGGAGGACATGGGGAGTTAGGAGAAGGCATTTGGGGGAAATTGGAAGGGGAGGTGAACAATGAGAGACTATGGACTCTGAAAAACAATCTGAAGGGTTTGAAGAGGTGGGGAGTGGGAGTTTGGGGGAACCAGGTGGTGGGTATTAGGGCACGGACTGCATGGAGCACTGGGTGTGGTACAAAAACAATGAATACTGTTATGCAGAAAAAAAAATTAAAAAAAAATAAGTCAACTAGAGGAAGAAATCTGGAAAATTCCAACATTGGGAAATAAAATAATGGAATGTTAAAACTGATGATTCTAAGATTTTACCCTACCAACCAGCTCAAAAGTCAACCAGCCAGAGATTTCTGGATGCTGGAAGAACACATGAAACTCCTAGGCCAGAGCTACAGGACTTTTTTTTTTTTCCTTAAAGCAATAGCAGTAGCCAGAGTATCATTATTTTGGGGCCAGTTTGCCAAGGCTCAGTTCCCAAATCACAACACAAGGAAGACCAGGTGGCCCATGCACATGGACACCAGGAAAGGAGACCTTTGGCTAAGAACCATGCATCTTTCATGAGGGCAGCAGGCGTGACTGCCTGCTGCTTAGGAGGAAGAGAATATCTCTACCTTCTGATATAAACATCCTTTATATCGTGATATAAACATCCTTTAAAAATCAGCCCGAACAAAAGCAGTCAGTTCCTCTGCTCAGAAAATGTGCAGGGACACAGTCTCATGCAGATCTGCCGTCCAAGACAAACGAATAAAGAATAGATTATAGATAATATGAAGGAAACTAGACCTTTTCAATAACTGAATGAAACTAAAAACACATGTAAAATTTTATGGAATAAAACTAATGCATTGTGTAAGGCAAAATTCATAGCTTTAAACACCTACATTGGAAAAAGCAAAAAGGTCCCAATAAAAACTCTTGACAAACTATGAATATAGTGGAACTTCTTCAACTGGAAGAGGAAATCTGCCACAACAGTTAACATCACACTTCATGATGAAAAACTGATTGATTTCACCCAAGATCAGAAACAAGGCAGGCATGTCTTTTCTTATCACTTCTATTCAATAATAAACTGGTTCTAACCAGTGCAAAACCCAGGGGGAAAAAATGACATCTATATTGAAAAGGAAGTAATATAACTGTCTTTACTCTCAGATGACTTCATTCTATATGTAAACTGTCCTAAAGAATCTACCAAAAAACTACTAGAACTAATACATGAATTTAAAGCACAGGATACAAAAATATACAACAAACAAAAATAAATAAAAGTCAAATGTTTATATGGTAGCAATGAACAGTGCAAAAAATGATATTAAGATCATTCCAGGGATGCCTGGGTGGCTCAGTTGGTTAAGCAGCTGCCTTTGGCTCAGGTCGTACTCCCAGGGTCCTGGGATCTTGTCCCACATCAGGCTCCTTGCTCGGCAGGGAGCTTGCTTCCCTCGCTGCCTCTGCCTGCCTCTCTGCCTGCTTGTGTGTACTCTCTCTCTCCCTGGCAAATAAATAAAATCTTTAAAAAAAAAAAAGATCATTCCGATCACAACAGTATCAAAAAGAGCAAAATACTTGGGAAAAAAATTAACAAAGTAAGTATAAAACCTGAATACAGACATCTTAAATAAAATGAAAATATGTTCATATGGAAAAAAATTTAATAAATCCTACTTCAACAAAATGTAAGAATTTTGATTTCCAGAAGATAACATTTTTAAACAAACCACACTGAGTAGAAACATTCACAACTTATATGTCAGATACAGAAGGTGTATTCCAAAATAAAGAACATTTATAGCTCAATATAAGATAAACATGTCAATTTAAAAATGGAACAAAAGGTTTGAATAAGCATTTCACCAACAGGATAGATGAATGTCTAACAAGAACATTAAAAGCATGCCTGATATCAGTGGTCATGAGAGAAATGCAAATAAAAATCATCTTGAGATAAACTACACATCCACTAACCCAGCTATACTTACAACTGATAATACCATGTGTTTGCAAAGATATAAAGAAACTGCAAACATACATTGCTGTTGTATATGGCACAGTCGTTTTGGCAGTTTCTTAAATATACACTTACTATGACCTAGCAATTCCACTCTTAGCATCCATCCAAGAGAATGAAAATATCCACACAAAGACTTGTACATGAATGTTCACCTCACCATTGCTTATGAAACAGTTCAAACTGGACATTTCCTGACTTTTTCTATACTAATACCTCTCTCTGAAAAGATCTTCAAGGCCCATCATTAATCATACTTTCTTGCTGACCAAAGTCCATACACTGGCAAATGGATAAATAAAATATGGTAGAGCCATACAACAAATACTATCCAGCAATAAAAATGAATGGCATATGGATATCTGTTACAATGGGGATGAACCTCAAAACATTTTACTCAGTAATAGAAACCAGGTGTAAAATATTACATTGAAGGATTCCATTTGTAAGAACTATCCAGAAAAGGCAAACTACAGAGATTGAAAGTAAATCAATGATTGCCTAGAATTTACAGGGGTTGTAGAGATGGGCCATGAGCGGGCATGAGGGACTTTTCAGGGTGCTAGAAATCTCTATAACTAGATAGTGGGGATGGTTCCTCCATTCCACAATTGGCTAAATATTATTGAATTGTACACTTACAATGTGGTCCTCACTGGCAATTAAATTGTCCAAATTACTACCAAAATATGCATTTCTTTGTGCTATCCTGAAGAAATGAAACATAGATTCGTATTCTTTCTGTGGAAAGTGAGTAAGGAATTTATGCAGGAGAAAGGTCAATCTTTAAATTTCTTTTCTACCATACCCAGGATCTGCTTCCTTCCTGTGACTGCCCCACTTATAGCTCTCTTAGCAAAAGCAAATGAAACCCTAGGGAGCTGAGGGATAGAAAAGCGATGATGAACTCTGGCATAAATGTCTTCTCTGACTAAGAATCTGTGGTTCTCACAAACCATTCATAGTCAGTGAGGAGAGGGCATTATCAGTGTTTCCCCTTCCATGAGCTTCTGCCAACTCTCCCTTCTTACGATTAGAGTCCATTGGGACTCTAGTCTCCTAGCCTGGACACATTTAAAGCATTGTCCCATGAGTAAATTTTACACCACACTGACACTAGTCCTTGGTTCCTTAGAGAGTCTATCAACAAATCACAGCATATGGTAACACTCATATATATACTTACCAAAAGTAATGTGTAGATTGTTCTTATTCTGTTAAGATCGAGAAGCAATTTCTGTGCCTTCTCATGGTTACTACAATATTCATCATAGATACAAATCTTGTCTTTCTGTGAATTCGAATAAGGATAAGTTAGAGAGAGTCATGGTAGTAGCTACTTGGAAAGATTAACCTGTGTGATGTTTGTGAACATAATTTATGTGTCCAAAGTGTTTACTATATTTTGGGAGCTCTACTCTATTTATGTATCTAAGCACACTTTATTTATCAATTTTCTCTGATTCAAGAAGAATAATCTAGGAAAAAATGTTATATTAACTAGAGTCCTATGTGATGTATGCAATACTAAGTAAATGAGCCAAATGGTAGCAAATTACAGAGAAGAGAGTACTTAGCTTTCCTGAGAGGGTTCAGATACAGCTTAAAAAAAAGTAATATCTGAGCAAGGTTCAGAGAGATGAATCCATCCTTCCCAGGCAGGGTGAGGGAAGAAAGCATTTTAGGAACAGGGAAAAGCATGTGCCTGATCATGCAGGAATAGAGAGACCTAGTACCCTGCAGTTCACACGCACCAATCTGGACAGCTGTGTTTAGGAGGGACACAGACAAACAAGAGAATAGTCAGCAACAAGTGACTAAGATAAGATGGACTTTGGAGACTCTACTCTGATATGAGACTCTCTGTGACAAAGTATGAGTGGTCATTTCAAGTAGAATGATTTGTTAGTATAATAAAGTAGGAAATGGTAGCTACTTTCAGACAGCTGTCACAGTGTAATGGGACTTACAACACTGTGTAGCTCCAAAACAAAAAACTAAGACCACTGGGTGGAAATTTCAAGGGCAATCCATAATGGGCAGTGGTAGGCAGATTCAGGATTAACATAAAGATCTTCTAGTGTTTATAGCTCTCACTAAAAGTGATCAAGTAGGAACAAAATAAATAAACTTCATATTTGCCACAGAAGGGATACTTTCAAAAAGGGAGTAATTTCCCCATCATGGCTTCTAAACATCCTTCCGTCATTAGATTTTTCTCTCAGTGGCTAGGATTAGTATCTACCAAAGCAGCTCCAATAAGAGGAAGACACAGAAAATGTATTGGCCAAATATTAGAACCAAAGTACCCTCTGGAATTTCCATGACATACATTTGGAAAGCAACACTGAGTGCTATTTTATATAGCCAGCAAAAAATATATTGAGTTACATATTTCAAGAGATGGTATGACCCAGAATGAAATACGCTTCAGAAATAGTTTAGCTAAATTCATGGATGACAGATTCATAGTGTGTTACTGAGGAAATGCATGTCAGAGTGCAAGATTCCCATGTGAGACCCTGGACTAAGGCAGCAAATGCTCCAGCTGGCAGAAGATGTGAATTCCTTCATGAAGAGGAACAGTCTGGATTAAGTGGACACAATCATGCGTGGTTTCCAGTCATACCCAAGGAAAATACTTCTTGATCTTCCTATGCCAAGGAGCTTCTCTCCATTTAATATTAATTACCTTTATGAAATATTTCCTGATTATAAAAAGAACATATGCAGCTCTGCCCACTCCATACAGAATTATAGACCTAGAAACTACATACCGTTACCTTTCTAAAGGTTAAATAGAAATAAACATAAACAAAAATTGACATCTGTGACAAAATACTAATGCATTTTTAAATAAAACATCAATTACAATAGCATTTTGGTATAGAAAGGAATTCAGGTGGGTGTTCTGAAAATTAGCATCAGTGGAATGCTATAAATAGCAGCACTATTTTTTTTTTTGCTATGAATGCCCTTCAGTTCTGAAAATAATTTTCATTTTGTAGGTGACTTCTTACTTTATAAATCAGTTGCACAAATAATTTCAACTATCCTGTCCAAGAGAAGGAAATGATTACAAGCATGATGTGTAATTTGAAACAACTGAGGACTGACGTTATTCTTCTGCACCACTCAGTACGACCTTCTGAGAAACTACCCTTGAGAAACACCAAGACTCCGGCGTCTGTGTACCTAGAGTGACACGGCTCATTCACCTGCAGGCTTGTCACCAGCGGATTAACAAGGGAACATTCTGACTCACAAAAGCTCATCATAAGAGTAAGGATTTTCTGCCTCAAAAGGGAAATGCTCTATGTTTGGGAGAAACATAAAAATCCATTCATTATGAACAGCTTGAATATTCATTAGGATTCAAAGCTACAGAGGACGCGAAGAACTAACTTGTTGGAAAAAAGAAAAGGCTATTTGTTCTTCACTGAATAAAATGGATGATGTGAGGCCCTCACCCCTTTCCTGGCTCTCAGTGGAAGATTTAATTGGTCTTAAAAGACCCCAAACTTTCTGTGTCACATTTTACTTCTACACTGAGTTCTCACATGCTACTGTGCCAAAAGCTAAACCTTAAAATCTGGGGTGGGGGGGTGGGGCAGAGCTTCTAAAATAAACAGAAATTGATCTTACAAAGTGAAGAAAGTGGGTTCCCACTTCATGTTGCGTGTTAGGTTCTGGATGCAGGCATTCTTCCACGACTTTTAAAAATTCTTTAGGTACAGCAAGGATATCTTCAATGTTTGAGAACAGCATCTACAAATAAATATAATAAGTGCAATAGTGAAGCAGGTCAAACAAAAGACCATGAGAGGATAATATTCTCTTTCCAAGCTGAAAATTTCAGGGGTTGCTTATCCTTTCCACCCAGCCAGAGGGCAGAGGACCAATTTTGTCTGGACATCCTTTCTACTCCTACACAGCTCTGGGAACCAGGAACCCATTCCTGGCTCTCAGGAGAAGCCCGAGTGACTAAATCTAAGCATGACTGTCCCCAACCCAATAGTGAGAATGGGAAGCAGGTAACAAAGTTCAGGCAGATTTGCTGGCAGGCTTTTGGGGGCAAAGGCTTCTTTGGCCTCTGGAATGGCATCCTGGAATGGACAGCTTCCCCTCTGGAAAGGTGCTATGTCTGGAAGTGATAGCTTGGACAGCTACAAGGTCATTTTGCAGGGATGAGAAGAGCCAGCCCTGAGGCAAAGCAGATAACCTGGTTGGCAAAGTGAAGAGCTAGACAGAACCTGGCAATCTTATCGACCTCCCTGAGTCATAGATCCTGAACCTTCTCTTCTGTCTGGAGTCCCCAAATGAGAGCTGAAGTGTCTTCAAGTCATTTGAATAATAAGTGTCTTTTGCTTGCGACCTAAAGCACACAAACTAAAATGCTCCCATGTAAGAGAATTTGAAAGTTCATTTTTAATTTATGAAAAAATAGTCAGAAGAGCCTATTAAAATCCTTGGGAATTTTTTTTTTTTGTAAAATAAAACAGCAAATCAGCACCAAAAATAAACATCAATAATAATTTAGGCAGCTTAAATGAATAATAACTGTAGTGCAATTAATTTTCATTTACCTCCTCCCCCTTTACAAAACTCTTCATCATTTTCCTTTCCTGCAGCCTAAAAGAAAAGGCTTATACATGTGTTTCTGAGTTGAAGACATTATGCAGACATTTTCTGCACCACAGAACCACCCAAATCACTTACTCTTTGGTGAGCAAAGATTGGAAGTCACATTTGTCCACATCTTGCCTTCCTAAGCCACCTCTGGCAATGCTCCCACTTAGGGCTCTGTTCCCCCCTGCTCGCAGACACTGAGATTCTTGGTTGGGGGTTTGTTTTTCTTCCTCTTTTCAAACTGTCCAAAGGCCTCGGGAAAATTGTTCCTTGTCTTCTGTGCCATCCTCATCACTTTCTGTTTCTTTTCCCAAACCCTCTTTCCCTTTATCTCAGGGTCACCCACACAAGTGACTGGCACAGAACTTATAGTGGAACTGAGGAGAAGCTGAAAAGCCTAGAGTAACATCCCACAGAAGAAATTTTAAAAGGGAATGTGTGCTTGGGTTGAGGGCCGACTGTGCCTCCTCACCTTCACTGTTTCTTCTGTTACATTTTTATCAACTTTTGATGCAGCACACCGGTTCATTCAGTGTAAGAATGCCAGCATGAAATGAACAAAAATAAGATATTGTGAAGGCAACATTAGGTTAATAAAATAACAGGGTGTCGATTAGAACTAAATTTTTTTATAGGAAACCAGAGTTTAAGAGTAAATGAAACAAGTTGGGTTGGGAGGGAGACAAACCATAAGTGACTCTTAATCTCACAAAACAAACTGAGGGTTGCTGGGGGGAGGGGGGTTGGGAGAGTGGGGGTGGGGTTATGGACATTGGGTAGGGTATGTGCTATGGTGAGTGCTGTGAAGTGTGTAAACCTGGAGATTTGCAGACCTGTATCCCTGGGGAAAAAAAATATATGTTTATAAAAAATAAAATTTTAAAAAAAAGAACCCAATAACTACTGAGAATAATAGTTTTGTTGTAAAGGGTGAAACCCTGGTTCACAGTGGTTTCTCCCTGGGAATTAAATCCTTCAGAATTTGGGCGCAAGACCAAAAGTGATCATGTACATATGAACTAAATTTATGCACCACGATCTCAATGTTCTGTGGTAAACAGTTAGGAGTCAAATGTTTCCTAAACTTCTAAGTCTTGTGAAGCACAAAACACGAAAATCTAATGAAAAATGGGACTTCTGATTTAAAAAAAGGGGTGGTCAGAAATTCCAAGGTGATCCTTTGGAACTGAGATAGACTGAGGGAAGGAAGTAGGGAGTCAAAGATAGAAAGAGAATGAAAGAGAAAGAGAGAAAGAAAGTGACTCTCTAAGAAGGAATGAAAAGATTTCCCTTCCCTTCCTAACTACCCCCTCCCAAGTTTTAGAAAGCCAGATTTTGTATTTCTGCGATCAGGTTAGGGCTCTCCAAAGCCCTATGGTAGGCAAAAAGTTCCTTAGTATTCAAAGATCTGGACTCTCCTTAATAAGTCATTAATTAAGCTTGGACCCATGACCAAGTAAGCTATTATTTTTGCAAAGGAAGAAAAGAGTAGAAAGAACTATTTATATTGGGTCTTAAAAGAGAAAGTGTGGAAGGAAAAGGAGAAGTGACTTTCCATCCAGCAAATCTGGCTTGTGTCTTCAAGACATTGCTCATTGACCACCTAGTAACCAGGTGAAATCATTGTTTCCCTTGTCTGTCTTAAGAACTTCAAGCACTACCAGCCAAGTTGGGGTATGACTACACAGCCCATCAATCCCAGTGCACACAGAGTCTCCAGGGAACCTCTGGATACTTTATCAAACAAATGAAGATTAAAGTAAGAATCCCATTTTTGACATGCTATATTGACAAAGACTTAAGAGATTAAGAAAACCCAGTATTGCTCATAACGTTCGAAAGTTATAACCCTCAAGAACATTGGAGTAAGTATAAGAAATGGCACAGGGGCGCCTCGATGGCTCAGTTGGTTAAGCATCCAACTCTTGATTTCAGCTCAGGTCCTGATATCTGACTTGTGAGATGGAGCCACCCATCAGGTTCTGGGCTGAGTGTGAAGCCTACTTAAGATTCTCTTTCTCCCTCTGCCTCTGCCTCTGCCCCTCCCCCCTTCCTCTCTAAAAAAAATGGGGGGGAGTATAAAATGGCACAACATTTCTGGGAGCAAATTGACCATATATCTCAAATTTTTAAATGGGCATACCCTTTAACACAGAAATTCTTACCTCCATGAATTTATCCCAAGAAAACTTTCAGACAAGATGAAACATTAATTACAAAAGTGAAAACACTGGAAACAACCTAAATGTCCATTAATAAGGGAATCATTTATATTATGGTACATGCAAATTACAAAATACTATGCAGAACTATCATCATAAATGGAATGTGATAAAAATTTCATAGAAACATGTGTAGACAGATGTCTATAAAATATTGTTTCATGAGCAAATTTATCAAACAGCTTTCTCGATAGCTACACACATATATGTATGTACATATACATATTACATACAAGCATATAGGCATAAATATACTTGTGTAATGGCAGTGTGCATTCATACTAAGAAAAAATATGTAGCACATATCAAAATGCAGCAGTGGTTAAAGTGACCTTTTTATACCTCCTAATGCACAGAATATTAGGCTGTGAGCATACTGTAACATTAGTAAAAAGAAAAGCAAAACTATTTAAAAGAAACAAAACAAATGAGCCATAGGACCTCATTCCTAGCATTAGCTTCAAACCCATTTCTATTCCTGATTCAATCAGTTCATGTTTCAGTCTATAACTACAAAGCCACATCAATACTAACAGCCTCAACAGAATGAAATAATTAGCTGAATTAAATAAACTTAATAAGAAAGTAATGGATGTCACCTTGTTTTTTTAATTGGAAACATGTGATACGATTTTTGAACTATTATCTAGAGTTAAGTAAAATTGTTCGTGAAGAGATTTCAAATTTTCTGACTTTGCCCATTTTAATCACTATCAGTCTCATTTTTAATTTTAGATTTGGATTTGTATGCTCATATCAAAAAGGTTCCATCAGTTCTTTCCTCTTAGTCTTAAAATAACATGATGGTGTAGTCACCTAGTTTACATTTCGTGTTGACGACACGGTAAACAGGTAACCTCTCATGCAAACAAAACTGAAAGTTCACCTCTACATTTATAAACCTTTTCTTAGGAGCTGAACTCAGTCACATTCTGAAGCCCATGAATTAAAGTAAGGAGACAGTACGGATGAATCAAAATATGAGTTAGAAAGGCACATACAAACTAAGAAAGTAAACTGTATCTTCACCTGACTTTTTATCTTCTTCACCTCTCTGACAACATGGAACTTTTTGTTTAACTGTATATGAAAGAAAACCTGGAAATTGTTAACATTTCTGATGAGGCATTAATCTTCTTAAGAGCTTCATCTTATATACACAGTTCAGTCAGATTTCAAATAGTTTGCCTAGAGCACAAAATCACAATAATTGACATTCTTGACAAAATATTTAAGTTTTCCTTCCTTAAGATAAAGAAAAATAACGTGTTTTCAGAATCCTCTTGTAACAACCAGCATCTACAAAGTCCTTTCAGACTTTGGAATTGGAGCATTTAATTTTTCTCCAATCAGTCAAAGAAGCATTAATGCCCTAAATACAAAAATACATGAGGGATTTCACACTCTGTTTTATCTCTGCATTCATTAATTCCCTTTGGTCCAGAGTTTCATCAGAACTAGGTCATCTTCACTTTGATATGAATACGTTGAAAATAAGTACTGGAAAAAGCCTGTAATGCCAGTGGTTCTCAAGCTTTTTATTGTGCATGAAATTTGGAGAGTTTCTTTTCATTGCAGATTGCCCTATCTCCAGAAGGTCTGACTCAGCAGACTATTTGAAGACCCAGAAATCTGCACTTTGGGTAAGTTCCCCAGATGATTCTGATGCAGTTGGTCTAGAGACCACATCTGATGAACACTCCTGTGAGTTCAACCTTCCAAAGACTAAAGAAACAGACTGTGGAGAAACAAGTAAGTGAGTCTCAATAGCAAAAATGGGTTCAGTTATTTCTTAATTTTCAAACCCTATGTCAGCTCCCTCTATGCACAATAACCTCTGGATCTGCCACTTGGTGTTCCTGATCATCACACCAGAGGATACCCTTTGGACCATGAAACTCAAATATGGGCTTCATAAACAGGGCACAATAATGTCTGAAGGCTAGGGAGATACAGAGACCAGTGAACTAAGAGACTACGCTGCATTTGGAAGAGGTGAGGCTCACAGTTGCCCCTTCTTGTACCTTCCAGCTTGCAGGTGTGTTAGCATGAACTCAGTTTGCCAGCATTCCCCTAACAATGATTACACAACACATTCCTAGATTTGCTGCAGTCAGGGGCTTCTCTTTCCCTACACCAAGAACAGAACTCTTCATCTCCTTTTCAATTTCTTCCGTATTGTTTTCTTCCTACCATATATATGGTAAAATGGGGTAAATGCCATATATTAATTAAAGCTTAAGAAAGCTGAAAATGTCACAAATGTGCTACCAAGAAAGTAAAAGAAGGAAGAAAACTCATGAGGATATAAGAGAGAAGACAGCAATTCTCTTCCTCCATGTCTGTCCATCTGGGCCACTGCTTGTTCAAAGGGTAAGGCAAACACCACAATGAATTTTATTCTCAGAATTTACCACTTTACTTTATAATTCTGATGTACTAATTTATCTCCTTCAACTCATTTTTTTCCTCCTCTCTCTTTCCGTCAGGCACACACAGTAGATCACTCTTAAAAGTCACACAGACATGTTCATTGCTATAACATTTTCAGATAGTTGTGGATATTCTTCTTTAATACAACACCAAACCTCAGTAAGAGGTCATTTCTTAAAGGGTGGTCATGATTTTTAATCTGAAACCAACCATATCAGTGAACTCTCCACACACTGTTACATTAAAACCAACTGATCTATCTGCAGTTTGAAGGAATCTATTACATACGCTTGATGCTGTAAGATTTTTTAGCAATGATTCACTGGGAGTTAAACATATCTTCAAGATAATAACACATTTTGTTATTTAATATCAAAGAACACCCACATCACAATAGTTAATATCAGTATCCAACTCATTAGAAAAATCTGTAACTATTAGGAAAGTATCTAGCTCATAGATATCAATTTTCCAAAACTTGAAATTCACTTGCAAACTTGAATTTATCATCATCAACAAATACTATCAGTTGTTTTCCTTGAGGTGAAAAGCTTACTTCATTCTTTTTTTGAAAAAAAAAAAAACAAAAACAAAAAACAAAAAAACAAAAACTGTCTGCCAAATGGCTGAATGCCCTGAAACTGAAACATAGTTTATCTCACAGTTGTTATTTCAAGTAAATATAATGTTCCATAGCAACTCAATCACAAATTCTAGTCCCTGGAGACAACCATATTTTTGAGTATGCAGCAGAAGTACTAGGTATACTTCCCATTTCATCACACAGGATATTTAAAAGGCACATGCTCAAGAGTCAGGACTTAATAAAACTCATAATTTTTACAGCTTTAAGTGAAATTGGCATCCCCTTGTCACTCCCTCCTGAGTGA